AAAAATCAAGAGTTGGCTGGAGGGAAGGCCTGAATAAACAGCCATGTTTTTAATTGGGTTTTAAAGGTGCCCAGCGTGGGTGCCGTGCGAATTGCCGGAGGAAGATTGTTCCAGAGGCGAGGAGCCACTGCAGAGAAGGCCCGGTTTCGTGTCTTCTCCTTCCGGGCCTCTCTCGGCGTCAGGCTCCTCAGCCTCTCCTCCTGACTTGCGCGAGTGATCTGGGTAGACCTTGGTGGGAGCCGGCGTTCTGACAAATATAGAGGTCCTAAACCGTTTAGGGCCTTATAAGTAAGCATTAAAACTTTGAAGTTGACACGGAAACAGATGGGCAGCCAATCCAATGCGGCCAGCATTGGAGAGATGTGTTGATATTTTCTCACTCCTGTAAGGAGCCTGGCCGCCGCATTCTGCACCACCTGAAGTTTCCGTGTCAGCCTCAAAGGTAGCCCCACGTAGAGCGTGTTACAGTGATCTAATCTTGAGATTACGAGCACATGCACCAAGGTAGTGAGCGCCCCCATGTCGAGATAGGGTCGCAGCCGGGCAATCCGCCAAAGATGGAAAAATGTGGTGTGGACTACCGCTTACTTCGCATATTTTTCTTTTCCCACCTCACTTGGTTTGAGAAGTAAAACAAATTACAGAAATATAAAAGCCTTATCTTGAGTGTTCCTCAGAGAGCAGGGATCCACCCACTGGTCCACTATGACTTGCCATCCTCATCCTGCCGGAGCAGAGAAGATTACTGTATAGTGAGGGAGCCTGCTAATCCCAAGTGATACAGGGCCCTGATTGCACAAACCTTGTCTCCCTCTCCATACAGTTTTTAATTGTGTGTGTGAACAGCTCAGAATGTCCAGCTCTGTGTGTGTTTGTCCTGGGGATAAGAAAAGTTAAGTTTTGGGGGACTAAAGCTTGACCATGCTAGTTAGAGTACTCTGGAAGATATAAAACAGGAAAAAAAAAACCTAACCATGAGTTCGTCTTCTATCCACTTGTGGTTATAGCTGGCCCCAAAGGATAATAGCAGTGTATAGTTTTTTCCCCTAACCTGTGCCATTTCATATTTCATGCCTTTTTCGAAAACAAAGAGGTTAATGGAGCTGTAGCATTTCAACAGCAGCCTATTTCTGTGGTGGTTGGCTTCTTGCATGTTTTGTCTGGCGTTTTTAGCGTTAGGTTTTCACTAAAAGGGAAATCTGATGGAAGAAAGGGTAAGGTACTGGGAAGTCTGAATGCCATTTTAACAAAAATAAAACAAATAAACAAAACCCCAGAGCCAGTTCAGATGATGCTCGAAAATGAACATAATGTCCGTGGACACTCCAACAGTATGCTCTCTTGGGTGTTTGCTTTTGTAGTTTGTTTAAACCAGAATTTCCTGTATCATCCAAATTAATCTAAAACAATCCACAATAGAAATACCAAAGGCAAGCAATGAGGAGGGGAGTATGAATAAATACAGTATTCATTCAGAATACTGTTTACAGTTTTAAGAATCCTCTTCCCGTGTCTCTGAGGTATGGGGAAGAGGAGTTTGGCTAATAACCTGATTACTTTAGGCTGCTTCATCTCCAGTGCTCTGTTTCATTTGAATGGCTGGTGCAGTGGCTCCCTCCTATAATATAGAGAAAACACGTTGCCATCTCAAGTCCTCTCTCTCTCTGTGTGTGTGTATGTGTTAAACATTTGGGGGTTGGGGTTGTCTTCTCTTTCCCTGTGCAGGCAAAGCCACAACTTTGTTCAGCCGTCACACCAAGGCAATTGTTTGGGGGATGCAGACTCGGGCTGTGCAAGGCATGCTGGATTTTGACTACGTTTGCTCCAGGGATGAACCTTCCGTGGCAGCCATGGTGTATCCATTCACGTATGTTTATAGGATCATTCTTGTGGCTGTCTCTGATAGATCTTTTGCTGCTACCAAATCCCTTTCTGCCAGGTTTGAGGGGTAGGACCTGAAAATTGGGAAGTTCCTGTGACAAACCCAGACCTACTGGGATAGGTCACACAGTTACACTAAGCTGCCACCAACCATTCCCTTTAAGAAGTCACACAGACCAGGGATGGATTTTCAAACAAATAAAGAATAAGGTTTATTTAAATATATGACAGACAGGTAACATCAGTGCTGTTATGTAACAGTTCCTTTTTTGGAATACATTTCCCAGAACCCCACTAACCAGAAGGGCCAGTGGCTCTTCTGGCTGGGGATTGTGGGAACTGCAGTCCAAAAAGAAGCTTTCCCAAACTCAAGAAACATTTCCAAAATCATGCTGGAACAAGCAGCATTCTGAAAAGCAATCCTTGCACACAGAAGACCGGTATGTCAAAGAGAAGGATTTTAGTCTTGCCCTTCTTCTGACAAGCTTGTTTTACAGCAGAAAACAGAAGAGGAATAGTGGGAATGACTGTAAGAAACAAGAATAGAATTATTGCAATTTCAGATATCCTGTATTTTTTCCTTTGTCAGTTTGATTTCCCTCTCTATCCAATTCCTTCCTGATTTGGATATGGACTCCACTCCAACATTAGTGAATCCTTTCCTTACATTTCTACATCATCTAAGTCAGTTTTCCTGCCTATGATAAGTTTGTTTATTTGTTTATTTATTTTAGAATATTTTTACCCCACTCATATTTTACTTAATTACTGCTGGGCGTTATGCCTGAGACTGATTCCTCTGCAGAGCTCCCTGCCTTATCTCAGAGGATGGGAGCATCTACAGGAGATTCCACACGCCTCCTTACAGGCTAGTCAGCCGACTACCCTCCTTGGTTTCTGTTTGCCTCTGTCTGGGAAACTTCACCACAGCCATTCTTGCCACTGCTGGTCCATAATTCCCTCCATCTTGTTGGCTTTTTGATATAATAAATAATATATAACCTCTAACTTGCGGAGTCTTCATGCAGCAGCTGGAAGCATATTCATAAAAAGAACACTTTGTAGAGTAAAAACTGATATTGTCCCTTATATGTGTTTGTGCCAGGAATTTGTAGTAAAGACCATTCAAAGGCTTTCAATGGAGAATTTAAAAAATCACCAAAAATTAACAACGACTCAGAACAACACCAAATTAACCCTGCATAGGGTTCAGGAGGTGGGCTAACGATTGCAAGCATTTAAAACAGGTTTCTAACAGTTTAAGACACTTTTACAGGAGCGAAAAGGGACATCGTTAAGTGAAATTCCCCCATAGAGAACATCGTTAAACGATGGGGGAAATTCCTCAAAGAAACCCATCGCTGTGTGGATTCATCGTTGTATGAAGCAATCGTTGTGCGAGGCACCACTGTGTGTGTATATATAAAAGATTTTTATCCTGCCCTTCTAGACAATGTCTACTAAATAATGCTTTCCATTTAGAAACATCTGTAAAATATAACCTAACTCATAGCATTTAGACATCTGTTATTTGTCATACATGTTCTTGACTCATTGACAAAAAATTTTCTCTAGTAAATAACTAACTCTCTCATCCTTATACTATTATATTTCTAAGCCTTGTCTGGCCCTATCAAATCTTGTCAGTTACAGTACATCTTTAATCCTGTCAGCCCTGTCAGCCATTATTATATATTTTAGTCCCTGTCTGACCAATCACATGTTTGTCCCTGTCACTGTCTGATAGACTTCTGACTGACGCTGACCTTATATATCTGCCTAGCTGACTCCAGACACATTTGATTGATTAGAATGTTATGCTGTAGAAATACAACATTCTGGTCTTTCCTAATAAAGACATTTAAACATACATATAAACATATGCGTACTGTATCGTATAATTATATATACTAACACATCTGTCCTCTATTTTCTTGCAGTAATTCCACTGTTTCTTACAGTCACTCCCTCCCTCCCTTTTCTGTTTCTTGCTGTAAAACAAGTTTGTCACGAGAAAGTTCAGGCTAAAGTCCTTCTCCTTGACATACTGGTCTTCTATGTGCCAATATTGTTTTTCCTTGCACAGGATTTTATTTTTAATGGGAGGACCATTTGGTCATGTGAACTCCTCTACCTATAGTCTGAAATTTCACCCTAATATTAACTGTTGGTGTGTGAATTAGGCCTAAGATAGAGTTAAGAAAATGTATCTTAATTCCATTTTGTTTATATACTGCCCAGTAGTGCAATATGCACTCTTTGAGTGGTTAACAACCAAATCCCTTTCATCTGGTGCTGCATGAGTAGCTCAGCAAATGTTGTCCTAGGCAGATGCACTGTTGTAGAGCCAGTTCTGTTATGTTTGGAAACAATACAGCATTGTTCTCCATATGCAGTTGGGTTTGTAAGTATATCTGCGCTACTCATTGTTGCATTGAGCTGCCATAGTGCCGTCCTGGAATGCTCAGATTTGTAGTTTGGTGAGGTGCTTAGAATTCTCTGCCTGAAAACTCTAGGGCACTAGCTTCAACTACAGCACCAGATTCCAATTACCTCCTTGAACTTCAGATCCCAGCATTCTGGAGGATGGAGCCATGGCAGTTAGTGGAATCAAATTGTTGCAATAATAATGCAGTATTGATACACTCTGACTGAAATCCTGTCTGTGCAGTTATGCCGCTTAAGGCTGATGGTGTCATCAACCCTGGAGACTTTTTTGGAAATAAACATTTCCAGACTCCAAATCTCCTAAGCCTCGTGTGGAATTCTTTTCATCACAAGGAGGCTGTTGGAGGCCACAGGACTGTGCAGGAGGGGTAGTCGTTAATATCTGAAAGTCACTACTGTCGGGATGACTTTACCAGTGGTAGCAATTTTCAGAACTTAAGGATTCACCTTCTAAAGGTTCCACAGCCCCCAGTGGCTTCCCAGTGATGAAAAGGAGCATCACAGTGGGGTTGAAATCAGAGATGTATAATTTCTGGAAAATTGCAACAGCAAAGGTTGCACTGCTCGATTCCAGACTCTGAGTTGCTCTGGGCTGCAAAGACATTAACATCTGTATATTTTTATTTACAGTGGTGACCACAAACAAAAGTTCTACTGGGGCCACAAAGAGATACTTATCCCTGTCTTCAAGAATATGGCAGATGCCATGAAGAAGCACCCAGAAGTTGATGTGCTGATAAACTTTGCATCCCTCCGCTCAGCTTATGACAGCACTGTGGAGACCATGCATTACCCACAGGTCCGTGGAGTGGACTAGAATCTGTGGCAAAGCTCTGATGAACCCCTTGTATAACATCAGCTGGGGTGGCAGACCTGCTTGCTTCATGAGCGGTGACATAATTGGGCTTCAGAAATCAGTAGAAACCCAGGAATAGGGACACAGAGCATGGCATATACTCAAGAAAGCATGGGAAACAAGATTGTATTTGGGAAGATTTTACTTCTCTTTTGTAGTTACCTTCCCTTGGAGCTTGTGATTGATCTTTACTTTGTTTTCTGTGATGTAAATGATATTCAGAGTCTACATATTGTTCCAAGAACTTAAGCGTTAAGGGTGCTGAAACAGTTGGAAACTCTGGAAAAGCATTTTAAAACCTCATGAATTCTCTTCCTCCTTTTAATTAGCAGAGGATACCAAACAAAGGAGTTAGTTTTCCTTTCAGCGTAATGTGAGGCATCAGGAATATATTGCAGAAATGCTGAGCTTAAGTTTTTCCAAATACCAATTCCGAATGCTTACTGGCTTTTACATGAATCTCTATATATTTGTGACAGGATATTTATATCTTCTCCAGAAAAACGTCTACATTAGTTCTTGGTTAAAAATCTTTCCCACCAAACTGCACTTCTTAGGTCTATCCGTGGATTTTCTACATGCTCATGAACTTAAGACAGTTAGGTCTACCCTAGAAAAGGAGATTAAGGATATTGGTTTTCTGTATTCAATATACAATGCCTACAAAATCTGCTCACCTATGAACTTTGGCCTAAATTTCGCATTCCACCAAAGAGCTAACTACCTGGAAAACCTGATCATCCCTAAATACCAGCAAGCCTTTTCAAGAGCTAGATTTAACTGTCTTTCATCTGCAGTTTTAAAGGGTGTACCATATGAAAACTGACTATTCCCCTGTAATGATAACCAAACTGAAACATTAAAGCAGGTCCTTTTCCTATGCAGTTTTTACAGGGATGATCATTTCAGACTCCTTAGCCTGGTAATGAGAGATTTTCCAGGCAGATCCTTAGGCTGGTACACAAGATATTTTCTAGTGGACACAAACAAGCCCACTACAGAACTTGTGGCCAAGTTTCATTTTTCTGCACAGAGAGCATGAAAGGAAATTCTTTTGTAGACGAATCTCCTTAATTTTAAATTGTTTTAAATCATTCTTGAAATTTTAAATCTATTCTGTTGGATCTGTGACTGCAAAATAAAGGCTACTACTACT